ACTTGAATAAATCCACAGACACAATTAACCTCTTTTTATAATACATTGGATACATTCCAAGACTTTGAACACTAAAAAACTGAAATTAATAAAAATACAACCTCGATCCCAGCTTAAATAAAAAAGTGAGCTTTTTTCTAACTGTCTATTGTATCTTATAGAATTGAATACATCCAAAAGATAAATCAAAATAAAAACCCCAAACCACTATTTTTTTGAGCCTATAAAAAAATTAACTAAATCTAAAAGATATAGAATCATTGTATTTACAAATATGATAAGAGGAACAGATTTTAAGGTTATGCTTAAAGTGATTGAAATTAATGAGGTTGAGGACAACGAGTATACATACGTAGAAGACGTGGAACTTGTTGAATACAAAGATAAAAAAGAAGAGTATGAATTCAACGAATGCTATTCCGATGAAATTGACATATGTTGGGAGCCCGAAATCAAAGATGAATTTCAAATACATGGAAATAGTGATGCTTACTATGGAAAGGATGGAACTCAGTGGAATTCTTTTCCGTTTAAAAAAGGGAAAACTAGAGCAAACAATTTGATAAGAACAAAACTGTCAAAAGTGAACCTCCCAGCTGGGATAAAAATTAAAGAACCAGTTGATGCGTTTAACTTATATTTTAATAACCAAGCTTTAGAGCAAATATTGAAGTATACCAATATAGAAGCGTTTGATACATATGGCAAAAAATTTATTTATAGCAGAGGATGGAAAGAATTGAATATGGTAGAGCTCAAGTCATACATTGGACTGTTAATTTTAATGGGTTGCTGCAAGGATTCAAAAGTTGAAATGTCAGAATATTGGTCAGAACTATTTGGACAGCCAGTTTTTAGGGCAACAATGGGAAAGAATAGATTTTTAGAAATATCTAGATTTCTGAGATTCGATGACAGATCTACACGAGCAGCTAGAATAGAAACCGACAAACTTGCGCCAATAAGGGGTCTTTGGACTGTAATAAATACAAATCTTAGAAAGATGTATTCGCCTGGATTAAACATTACTGTAGATGAACAGCTGGTACCTTTTAGAGGCAGATGCGGGTTTAAACAGTACATACCAAGCAAACCTGACAAGTATGGGCTTAAAATTTGGTGGGCCTGTGATAGTGAAAATAGCTATCCGCTTTCAGGAATACCTTACCTTGGAAAGGAGGAAAAAGAAAGAGCAAAAGGGCTAGGGAAAAAAGTTGTAGAGGATATTACTGAGGCTTATTCTGGTACAAGCAGAAACATTACGGTTGACAACTTCTTTACGAGTTACAATCTTGCTATGAGTTTAAAACTAAGAGGATTGACCATTGTAGGAACTATGAATAAGAAAAAAACTTGCATCCCCAAGGAATTTCTTCCATATAAAAGAAAAAAAGTAGAATCCAGTATCTTTGGATTCCAGAAGCACGCCACTTTAGTTTCATATGTTCCAAAACCCGAGAGAGCAGTGATTCTTTTATCAACAATGCACCTAGATAAC